CTGTCAAAGGACATTTCAAACACACTAGGGATGTATTCATAGGACCATTAGTAGAGGTTTCAACAACTAAATCAAATTCTAACAAAGAGACAGATAAATTCAATTTTTGGACACAAGAGACAGAAATAAAGGAATGAGTTGCACCAGAATAAAATAGTACGACAAAAGGAGTCTCAACTATGAAACAAGTACCTTGTATCAAATTTTCTGACTGAGAAGCTTCAGCACCACTAAGAGCAAATACTCTCTCTACAGTTTTTGGACGCTCAGTTTGCGAATCCAGTCCAATAACACATGTTCTTGGTGGTTCGGGACAGTGGATATTGATGTGACCCTTACCCCTGCAATTGAAGCAAGTAACCTCGTTGTCATTACACTCAGACCGATTATGACCAATACGTCCACACTTTCCACATCTTCCTGAAGGAGTGGACACAGATCCTCCAACACTTCCAGTAGCAGTAACAGTGGATCCTCTAGTAAATGACTTGCTTTTATTAGCAGCAGCTTTACTCCCTTGAAATCTAGTAGGAGCGGAGTAAGGCTTACTCCTACCCGAAGTACTAGAACTCACAGCACGGATAGGACCTCCAACTCCTTTATAGAAAGCAGCACAATCACGGTTGTCCCGATCATAAATACTGCACTTATTGACCAGAGTGGGAAAGTGATATATCTCTTGATAATTAATTGCAGTTTTCACTTCAGGACGTAAACCATTTACAAATTTTATGCATTTAGCTCTTTCACCACCCTCACCATGGTAGTGTGTACAATAACGAACCAAAGCATCAAATTTGGCAGCATACTCTGCTACTGTGTTGTTCCCTTGATTCAATTCAAGGAATTCCATTTCTTTTCGACTCCTCACATCATCCGGAAAATATTTTTCAAGAAAAGCCTTCTTAAAGTTGTCCCAGTTTAAGTGCACCCCTCCATCAATCATCCTCCGAAGTGCTCCTTCCCACCAAAAGTGAGCATCAGCAGTCAACATGAAGGTGGCCAACTTCACCTTCTGAGTGAGGGGACAATCCATAACATTGAAGATCTTCTCAATCTCTATTAGCCAATTCATAGCAGCATCTGGGTCATATCCTCCTTTAAAGGTAGGTGGGTGATTTCGTTGAAATTGTTCCAACCAGTTATGAGCGACCTCAGCCCTATTGTTAATATTCATAGCTTGTGCTAATGCTTGAAGAGCATCAGCAATTGCACGATCATTTCTACCAGCCATAGTCTAAGAAAATAATACAATTAATAAACATAATCAATCATCATACTAGCATACTAACAAGTTTCACAATCAATTCAATCCATCATTCATCAAACAAATAAGCATAGTAAACTCAAAACTCATGGTCGATTGGATCGACCTGCTCTGATACCACTAAATGTGACACCCTCTACCCCATCATTAAAACACAATAAATGTAAACAAATATTGTTTTTTTTCCTTTTCTTTTTGAGTAAATAAAACCTTTCATAGTTTGATAACATCTTTCATGTATAAAACAATTGTCTCAAATATCATAAGGTAGAAGATTCACATTCGAAACTTATAAATCATAAAAAGTCATCAAAATTCAAGAAATCATATAAAGGAAAAAAATAGATCAATTCCAGCAAAGGTGGCAGTGCCTCCTAGTTAGGAATTAATTTATAATTTTCAAATAAAAATAATATGACAAAGATGTACATTTTTGTCTTTTATCAAGAACGTTCAAAATTACAAAAGAAGAAAAAAATTAAAGCTTTTAAAAACAATAACATATTAGACTAAGCTAGCTAAGCCCCGATGTCACATCCTATCTGAGCATGCCCAACTGAACCCTTAAGCCTCATCACCAACATCCTCATGATGTTATTCACCTGCAACATAATTTAAACATATACAAAAACAACAAGGGAGTGAGAAACTTCTCACTCAGTTTTAGGTGAAGAAATAAAAGTTAGATAGCACACACACGCACAACATATATAAGTCACATGTACACAATACACATAAATAATCAATATCACATATATACTCATTTATCATGCTATGATGTCATGAACTCAACTCATAAATACACGCATGTGGCGCCATAAGGAAGTTTCACATATCATCACTGGTGATCCTAAGGCACACCTGCACAACTGTCGGTGACCCTAAGGTACACCTGGTTAGCATATCATCAACTTTCGGTGCCCCTAGAGTACACTTGATTAGCATATCATCAACTGTCGGTGACCCTAAGGTACACCTGGTTAGCATATCATCAACTGTCAGTGACCCTAAGGTACACCTTATTAGCATGTTACATCGTGGGTATGTGGCCTCAGCGGCACACCTGGAGTAATATATGCATATGATGCATGTCATACAATCATAATCTCATTGACTTATTACAAAATTTCATTTAGTACATCATGTCCTCATTTGTCATAGTCTCATAATCATAGTTTGTCTCAGTAGTTCATTCTTAGGTCTCATGTCATTTGTCCATATTTCACATGGTCATGTCATAAATACTCTTCATAAGGTCCGCATAGGAATTCACAGAGAACATTCTTTTTCATATTAAAACTTATTTAATTTTAGCATTAATTCCATATTCATTTATTACTTTCAAGGAACAAAGTAACAAGCAATATAGTAAACCAAACAGAACCACAGGCAAGGGATTGGGGGCCAATCCGACAAACAGACTATCCAACAATTATCCCTACACCCCCGAGCGAGATTTCTCACTCCCCCCTTACCTAGATAAACGGAGTTGAAACTTGGGCAGAGCCTCCTCTTCTGGATTCCCTCTTTCTTTCCCTCTCTTTCTTTCTTTCTCTTTCTTTCTCTCTCTCTCTCTCTCTCTCTCTCTCTCTCTCTCTCTCTCTTCCTCTTTCTCTCTCTAAGATTTCACTTCTCTCTCCAGTATAAAATTTTCACCCTCCTGCCTCCTATTTATAGGCAACCTGGAGTACCAGGAATGACCCGTATTGAATTTGGAACGGCCCGTTCCGGATCCTTCGAATCTGTGCAAATTTCTCAACTGGAACGGCCCGTTCCAAAATCGGAATGGCTCGTTTCCAATCCAGCAAAATGGCCCGTTCTGCTTCAAGAACGGCCCGTTCTCCCTTCTAGAACGGTCCGTTCCAAACCCGTTCTAGGACTTTAAAAAAAACATATTCCCTCTTTTGGAACGGCCCGTTCTGCATTTGGAACGGCCCGTTCCGACACCCAGAAATACCCTTATCCCTTTATTAAAATTACGAAAATGTCATCAATAATTACGAAAATGCCATCAATAATAAAAACTGGGTGTTACAATGAATCCAAAGCTATACAATAAGGATAGATGACAAACAATGAAGGTTGTGTTGATATATGGTGAGGAGATGATGAATGCATCGTTCTTGCAAAGTCTCTTGAGAGATGTTGTGCAATGCGGTCAAAATTGTGCTATGGAGGAGAGTAACAATTAAAGGAGACAAACGAATAGAAGAGAGTCACAAATATCGTATTACTAAAATATAAAAAAAAAATTTAAATAAATAAAAAAAAGATATATTATTTTTAAAAAAAAGTGTTAATCCAGTCAAGTCAACCAAATTTATCGAGTCAAAATGACTCACATCAGATTGAAAGTATATTTGATGCAAATGATCGATTCAAATCAGTTAAATGGTTAATTCTCTGGTCAATTAATAAGATCGATCAGACTGAACTGAACTGATAATACTAAAAATTAATATTCACTACTTTTTTGTGATCTTCATAAAAAAAATTCATGTCTAAAATATTATTTAAAAAGATTAAATCTAAGTATATCATTCAAATATAATTTATTGATGAGACTTCTTCGAAAACATAAAATATAACTAAAATTTAAAAATTCATTACATGTGACCATTATTAAATAAAATGATTGTTAATCGTGTATCGAGTATTTATTTATTCGTCCAATGCGCGTGTTTATCTTATTATTAAAGTAAAACAATAATTCAGTCCACACGTTTTCCGTCTCGTTTTATTGAGGTTATCTTATTTCACTTTTATTTTATTTTATTTAATATGGTATTCAATCCACGCGTGTTTATTTTATGTTTGCACTTCAATAATATATATTTATATTCTTAATATATTATTAAGTATAAGTTGGGTAACATTCCTTAACTTTTTTATTTGACAATAAATCTATTCTACCAGCTTTTTTTTATACTATATATAGGACATTATTGAGAAAAAAAATGAGAATATTGGTCTTAAAAAGTCATGTAATATTTCATCATAATATTTTAAATATAAAAATCATATAATATTCAATAAAAATAATTAAAATATTTTTAAGAGTTTGTCAAAATTTAATGGTATTTAATTAAGACAATCAAGAAAGTTTTTGAAGTCCGTTAAAATTTAGGAATATTTAATTAAGATTTTTTTACTTTAAAAAAGTTCATTTGATATTAAAAAATATAGAGATTTTAATGGGCTATTTTGAATAATCAATTTTGTGAGTTTCTTTATTAGTGTAATTTATATGTAATACACTCATAAAATAATTTTATCAAAATCTATCAAATTTTGCATGACTTTTATTCTCTTCTATTCTACTTTTTTTTCTTTCTTAAATCTTTTCTCTCACATTTCTTGCTTCTCTGTCTTATTTTTTTTTCTCTATCATATTTTGTCGTCATGTTTCTCTCTTCTTTTTATTCTTTTTCTCATTTTCTCATTTTTTTATTTATCTCTCTATTTATTTTTTCTTCTTCATTTCATTTTTTTCTCTTTCCTTTTCTTTCACCTTTCTTGCTTCTCTTTCTATTTTTTCCTTTCTTTTTTTATCTATCTCTTTTCTCTTTCTCTTTTTATTCATCTCTCTCATTTATCTCTTTTTCTTCTTCTCCTATCCTCTTTTTTTATCTATAAATTAGTGTATAATTTATCAATGTCTATTTTAAAAATTATTAAATATTTAAAATGATTTTTGTATAATTAAAATTTTAAATTATTAAAATTTAAGTATTTGTTTTTAATAAATTTTAATATTTAAATATAAAATTTTGAAACATAAATTTAAAAAAAAAACTTTATAGGTTATAGTAATGACCCTCAAAATAAAAATGAAAATTTCAATTTACGTCATGCATCTTTAAAAAATGTGATTAAGATGATATTTAGTATTTTTAAATCACTTTCATAATTTTTAACTGAAAACCTCTATTTTTATTTAAAACACAAGCTGAATTTGTATTAGCATGTGACGTACTATATAACTTTCTTTATAAAGAATGTTGTTTTGATGAATTTTCAATTGAATTAGTAGATGAATCTCCATTTTTAATATAACCAGTTATTGAACATCATAATTTTGAACATATATATTATTCATACTCAAGTGCATGAAAGAGAATATATAAATGCATGGAAGGCTAGTATAATCTTAAATATATGAAGAAATGTTAGTTAAGAAGATATTAAAATTTATTATTTGTTAAAAGATAAAAAAATATGTTGATTTTATTTTTTATTATTATTTATGTTATATTTTTTTTATTAAATATTGTAGAACTACAAATTCGTGTTTTTTTGTGAAATTCATAAAATATTTTAAAACTTTATAATATAAATCTATCAAAATTTATTAAAATATGAATTAAAAAAGTTTGATTAAAATACAAATTTTTAAAAAAATTCTAAAACTCGTGATATTTCTATAAATTTTTTAAAATTATTAAAATTCAAATGAATACTAAGATACATTCAGATCCCTTTAAAAAAATTATATATAAAAAAATAATTAAAAAAAAAAAAAAAAAACCCTTCAGATCCCCTAGATACATTCAGATCCCTTAAAAAAAAAGCCCTTCAGATCAAAGATCAAAGAGGCCAATATAAATCGTTAAAATTGTGTAACATAAATATTTAAATAATATTATTACCGAACAAAACAGCTCATCTAAAGGGAACTCAAGTTGACCCTCCAATGTGTATGTATCTTATTTATTAAGTTACAACATTACTTAATACATTTTGACCCTCCAATATATATATCTTATTTACAAGATACAAGTTACATCAGACATTAATACAAGTCCATAATTTAGAAGATACATAATATTAAAAAAAATTAAATAATAATCATCCTATGGCATTAACTTGTTTTACACTTCATAAGTTGTCGCATCACATGCATAATTTCATATTGCCTCGTATATTATTGCCCTTCATGAAGTATAAGTAGGCCCTCTCAATCCACTCCACCTCACACAATTAAGAAGGAAGAACAAAAACATAGACAACATGGTGCACTGTGTGGTCTTAACATTTCCAGCACAAGGCCACATTAACCCCATGCATCAGTTCTCCAAGCTCTTGCAGCAAAAAGGGGTGAAAGTAACCCTAGTTACCACCCTTTCATACTGCAAGAAGTTGCAGAACTTACCTGCTTCTATTGCGCTTGAAACCATTTCTGATGGGTTTGACAATGACGGGATAAATGAAGCAGATAACTACAAGGCCTACTTGGAACGCTTTTGGCAAGTGGGGCCAAAGACGTTTGCTGAGGTTCTTGAGAAACTTGGTGGATCAGGTGACCCTGTTGATTGTGTTATTTATAATTCGTTTTTCCCTTGGGCTCTTGAGGTTGCAAAGAGATTTGGGATAGTTGGGGCTGTTTTCCTCACTCAAAATATGTGTGTCAATAGTATATACTACCATGTCAACCAAGGAAACTTGTGTCTTCCCCTCACAGAAAATGAGATTTCCCTTCCTTTGTTGCCTAAACTTCAGCTTGAGGACATGCCCACATTCTTCCTCCCCACAGATGAACATTCAGTTTTGCTTGATTTGGTAGTGGGTCAGTTCTCCAACATCGACAAAGCTGATTGGATCCTTTGCAATTCATTCTACGAGATGGAAAAAGAGGTAAGCAACTCATGTCTCATCAATTTTTATATTCTTATCAGTTTTTACAAAACATGTGATTGAGCTTTTTAATTTACAAGAAAGAATGAGAACTTCTTTAGATACAAACATACAAGAGTTTTTTTTTTTTTTTTTTTTAGAATTTCTTTGTTGAAAATAATAATTTAAAAAAAAAAACACTTTTAAGTTGTATCTAAACAAACTCTTAATATAAAATAACCAATGTTATCTAAGAGATGAATCAATCTCATGTAATAACATACCAATTTCAAATCAATCCTTTACCTGATTTGTGTATATATTTATCAACTCATATGTTACGTTAAGATTAGCTCCTTTTTTAAATAATAAATTTTGTTATTAAAAATAAATACTAATTATGAATCATACAATAATTTATTTATATATATAAACACTTTTAAGTTGTATCCAAACAAATTCTTAATATAAAATAATCAATGTTATATAAGAAATGAATCAATCTCATGCAATGTATCAATTTCAGATCAATCCTTTTCCTGATATGTGTTACTATGTATATATGTATCAACCCATATATTACGTTAAGATTAGCCCTTTTTTAAGTAATAAATTTCGTTATTAAAAATAAATCCTGATTCTGGTTCGTACAATAATTTATTTGTATATAAACACGCAATTCCTTCACTTGCTAAAAAATGGTTTTTTTTTTCTTTGGATACGTAATGGTTGGTAACTAAATACAAGTTGCTTGCAGGTAACTGATTGGACAAAGAAGTCTTGGCCCAAATTTAGGACAATAGGACCATGCATAACATCTATGATTTTAAACAAGCGAGGTGACGAAGATCAAGATGTTACACAATTCAAGAGTGAGGAATGCATGAAATGGTTAGATGATAAACCAAAAGAATCTGTTGTGTATGTTTCTTTTGGGTCTATGGCAGTAATCAACGAGGAGCAAATAAAGGAAGTGGCATATGGTTTAAGAGGCAGTGGAAGTTACTTTTTATGGATAGTAAGGGCCTCAGAACAATCTAAGCTTCCCAAAGATTTCGAAAAGAAGTCAGAGAAAGGTTTAGTAATAGAGTGGTGCTCGCAGCTAAAAGTTCTAGCTCATGAAGCCATAGGGTGTTTTGTTACACATTGTGGTTGGAACTCCACATTGGAGGCATTGAGTTTTGGTGTTCCAACGGTTGCAATGCCATATTGGTCTGACCAAAGTACAAATGCTAAGCTTATTGAAGATGTCTGGAAAATGGGAATTAGGGTTACATTTGATGAGAAAAAGATTGTGAGAGGAGAAGCATTGAAATATTGTATAATGGAGATAATGAAGAGTGATAGAGGCAAAGAGATAAAAAATAATATGAAGCAATGGAAGGCTTTGGCTGCACAAGCTGTTAGTGAGGAAGGGAGTTCTCATGAAAACATTGAAGAATTTGTGAATAGCTTGTTCAGTTTATAATAGCAGCATGCATGGAATTTCAGATTTTGTATGTTCTTGTTGAACTAAACAGTGTTGTTGTTTGTTTTAATTTGTTGGCTAGTTATTGGAGAGTCACTGTGGTGAATGTCATTAATATTTTAGAAAATGAAAAATCGTGGCTCATTGAAGAAGTTGTAACTTAAATAAAACAATTTAATTAGAATATATTGATTTTATATTAAAATAATTAATTAACTTGATTAATATTAACAAAGATAATTTATGTAGTAATTATTTTGATTAGATATCAAAATATTTCAATTAAATTCTTAAAAATACCCATGACGTTGGAGGTTAATTTGGGTCCCCTGGTGTAATTGTTGTGGGCCTTTGACTTCCAAAGTTTTGCCACAGGTTGGACCATTAATATATATACCTAATAATATGTACTGCATTTAAGATTTATATCAAGAACAAAGTTGCTCTTTAATTTTATTTTTTTTATACCAAAAAATAACTTATAAATAAAAAATGAATATCATCTTCTATATTAAATCATTTTTAATCCTTTAACACGATTTCTACCATTATTTCTCTTTTGTTCATAAAAATATATAAAGTAGTTAAAAATTTAAACATTTTTAGTTTGTGTAATGTACATCATACATAATTATTTAATATAAAAATAATATCATAATTTAATTTTTTTAATAAATAAATATTCTTCATATAAATTATATTTTAAATTTTTAATAAATTAAATTATTAATAATGTTTAAAATATTGAAATTTAATTAGAAATAACAAAATGGATAGATTAAAAAATAAGAATTTAATTTTTTTTTCTAAAAACACTTTTATTTTGTTACTTTAATTTATATATATAATATCAAAGTAAATTTTATTTTGTCAACAATATTTATATTTAATATTTAGTTTTTCTTAGAATTACTTACCCACATATTTTTTAATATTAAAAAACCAATATTTTATAAAACATGAATATTTCCGAAACATTATTTGTGAGCAACGAAGGAGCACCAATAAGATTGTAATTGTTCCAGAAGTAGAGGAAAGTGTAAGAAAAGAGAATTATTTTTTAGAGGAAACTAAAGTATGGATTTGAATTCCCCTCCTTTCAACAACACAATTCCCGTCAATGGCACAATCCCGGTCGCCACCGCCCCTTTCATGAACCCTCCGCCGGCGAACGGCTCCGGCGACCGGAAGCCCATCGCCCTGTGGCCGGGGATGTACCACTCTCCGGTGACCACCGCACTTTGGGAAGCACGGAGCCAGATCTTCGAGAGGCTTCTGGACCCTCCGAGGGACGCTCCTCCGCAGAGCGAATTGCTCACCAGAACCCCCTCTCAGAGCAGGACCAGCATCTTGTACAACTTCTCCTCTGATTTTGTTCTCAGAGAACAGTATAGGGACCCCTGGAACGAGGTCCGAATTGGGAAGCTTCTCGAAGATCTTGATGCCCTTGCTGGAACTATTTCTGTCAAGGTAAAGTTTCGATTTTTATTTGGGTTTTCGGGGTTTCATGGCTATTTGTTTTAAGGGTATTGCTTGTCAAGTGATTAGATGTGCAGGTGGGGAGGTGATTGGTGATGGGGTTCAACTTCATACTGAAAGCCATTTGTGGTTTCAGTGTTTTTTTTTTATAATTATTTTCAGCTGTTTTTTTTCTGAATTTTTGAAGTTTTTGTGAGAAAGAGTTTAATTGTCCTGTACTATCTTTGTAAGAAGTTTTGCATTATTAACCAATCATTAGTTAAGAATGATGAGTTTGATAAACTTTTATAATAACTACTTTAAAAGTCAATTCTGGAATGAATTTTGACTGGATGATAGTGTAAATGTTATTATGCTAATGATGCATGAAAATTAGACTCGTATGATTGTGTGATCGTATGAATTTCCAAGTCCAAACTATGTTGTACTTTGATGATTGGCATTTGTGATGAATGACTTGTTTGTTAGGTTGTAGGTCAAGTGTAGTTTGATACTTGTTCAGTTGTTTGTATTCATGGAGTTTTCACATGAACGTTAATTTAAATTTTTGAAAACTGAAATATATATAT